GTTCTGCATCAGAAATTCCCCATCATTTAAGTACCCAGCAAATATGTTTCTAGTCTCTGCCCTCATGGTCCAGGATTTCTCTGAGAATGAAGTTGTGTCATTGCCAGTCTAGGGAGGGGCTGGGGTGCACAGGAGGTAACCAAGAGAGAGACCCTGTGTCTAGGGAGTCAGAAACAAGTCTTTGGGAAAATGCAAGTTCCTCTCAGCTTCCTGCAGGACCTTCTTCTAATACTCCTTTTGTCTCCAATTCTGCCTGCTCCCAGGGCTGACTACTCTGAGTCTTCTGGTGCTATTGTTCCCTACTCCTGCTTCTTCCCCTGCAGCATCAGCCTGGCTTCGCAGACAGGATCCTTTTGAACCATTTTTATATCCCCATGGGGACTTAGAACAGAGATTGCAGGTTCTCAGTGAATATTTGATTAGTTCATGGTAATTTCTGTGCCAGGCAAATCTGAGCACAGGTTCTTAGCTTGGCTTCTTGTTTTCATGTGACTTGTCACTTCTCAGCCAAAGCAAATGCTTTTGCCACTGCAGAGTATTAAAGGAAGCTTCAAACACAGAGCAAAGGATGGCTTGGTAGACCAGGCCAGAGCTACTTCCAGGAACTGGTTTGCCTTTGTGTTCCAGAAGACTCCTTTGACAAATGATCATTTGCTTTGCAGTTTGCCATTCTTTTCTGTGGCTTTAGGTCTGGTCTCTATCTAGTGAGTGCTTCTACATATCACAGTCAATAGTCCTTTGAAGATGCTTTTGCCTATAAGTAACAGACAGCCGAATACAAAGAGTAGGGTTTGCCATCTCACCCAGCAGGAAGACCAGAGGTGGGGCATTTCTGAGAATGAGGAATTCATTAGCTCAGGACGTCACTGAGGACCCCCTCCTTTTCCTCTTCCCTCTACCCACACTGAGTATGTAGGTTGATGTCCTCCTTTGTCGTTTCAATCTGGATGCCATAACTTCAAGGGAGAGTATTCTCACATGTCAGTGCTGATGGCAAGAAGTCATGTGAAGGATAGAAAGCATGTCATCTTTTATATCCTGAAGCGTGAGGCACATGTCTCCAGAAGGCCTGGCTGATTCCTCTTCTGTTTTATTGGCCCAGCCTGTGTCCCAGGACAATGCCTATACCGAAGTAGGACATAAACAACGAGGGGGCTGCAGTGATGGAGGCAACCAGTGCCACCTGCCACAAAAGTTCATATTCAGAGTTTCCCCAAGTGGGGTTTGAAAAGCATCTTCATCAGTATTATCCAGAATACGCTTGCTAAAGTGCATGTTCCTGAACTCCTCCCCTAACCTGAACGAGAAGACTGGGAGCTGGGCCCAGGAATCTGCATATTAACAGTAACCCAGTGAGTCTTATTTAAGTAATTTTTAGCTCACAGACCTATGTTTGTGATTACCTCCTATTCATATTTTCATGTTCAGTAGGGCTTGTCTTTTAAGGAGAGGCTAGGGAGTAAGAATAAAGAGTTAGATTTTTAAAATTCCCTTGCTAGGCCTTGCCTTCTAGAGATTCAAACAGAAATGTTAATGGATATAATTATGTTACCTCACATTTGCTTCAAAATAATCTAGGAGTGCAGAGGGAGTGGGCATATGGACAAAATAGTTAGCTATGATTTGGTGTCGGGGCCCGGTAATATATGAAAGGTTCATTATTACTTAAGTTTTTCAGTCTGTAAGCTAGACACCTGCTTTGTTGCTGTGCTGCCTTTGACCCTCCCAGGGTCTCAGGTTGGATTCTAGGATTATAGCAGCAGAAGTTCTCTACGAATTGGGCTTCATTTTCTTTTTCTTCCCTCCTAATGAGCCTCTTCCCCTAACAAAATCTTATGTGAAACCCGAAGAAATGACAGATAAAAGTTGACCGGCTGTGGTTTTAGGTGCTGTGGGTGCCTCCCAAACAGACTTTAAAAGAACTCTAGAGACTCCAGGACTCTGCAGAAGGTAACACAACATCCTCTGCACGAGGGCATTGTTGAAAACATTCATGCAGGCCGTGTTGCTGACAGAGGCCACAGCCCATTTCTGAGACCTAAGAAATCCTTAGGACAGTAAAGATGCAGCCATGGATGCAATTTCTGAGACATATTCTTGCATCCAGTGATTCATTCTGCAGATCCCACAAGCATGCACTTGTTCTCTTGTATACTGGTATTATATGTTGTTGCCCTGTCCTGGAGCAGAAGGAGACAGCAATGCACCCATAGCTTCAGGTTTATTCAGGCAACATTCCTGGCTCTACCCAGGACCAGGGCTGGGTGGATTGGCAGAGAGTTTCTGATGTGGATGCATCTTGGTCACATGGGAAGATGTGAATCTTAAACACTTGTGATATTTGGAACCCTTGAATTCATCTTCTAATGGGGAGCAAGAATAAAGACAGCTTTTAAATATTCCTGAATGTGGCTCTGCCTGATGCGAGCAGCCCAAGAGCATTGTACTTTCTCAGCTTGGGGACCTTAGAGAGATACTGGGTCAGACTTCCTCAGCCAGAGGATTTCTTCTGTGATGAATGAATGGTCCAAAACTCCAGAGACATTTGTGAATTTCAAGATGTTTCCCTAAAAATCCTTCAGAAAGGAGATAAAATCTCAGTAATAACCAGATTCCTCTGTGCAAGCTTCCTATCGCTGCTATAATAAATTACCACTTAATTAGTGGTTTAAGACAACACTAATTTTCTTATAGCTCTGTAGATGAAATCTCTAACATGCATTTCACTGGGTTAAACGCAAAGGTTTCAGCAGGTCTGTGATCCTTTCTGGAAGCCCTAGGAAAAAACCCATTTCCTTGCTTTTTCTGGCCCACATTCTTGGGCTGCCCACATTCCTTGGCTCGTGGCTCCTTTCTCCCTGTTTAAACCAGCATCTTCATATCTCTCTGGAGTTTGCTTCCACCATCACCCCACTGCACCTTCTTAGGACCTTTGTGATTACATTGGTCTTATCTGGGATAAGCCAGGATAATCTTTGTTGTTGTTTTTGAGGAGCCAGGATAATCTTTAAGGTCAGATGTTTAATTCCATACAGAACCTTAATTCCTCTTCGACTTGTTCACAGACCCCCAGGACTAAGGCCTGGTCATCCTCCAGGGGCCTTCCTTCTGTGGACAATACTTACCTACCTACCGGTAGGTTTCAAAGCACAGCAGTACCTTCCTTTGTCATGAAAATCATGCAGTTGTCAACTGGGGAGGGGGTGTTTCCCATGAAAGGGATGCACTTCAAGTTTGCTTTAGCTTTTTTGCCTGTGCTCAGGATTACAAGGTGGCAGATGGGTATGTTTTTACCATAAATGGGTAGGACCTGGGAGGGGGACACAAAAACACCAAAGAGCAGACATTCCAGGCCTCATTTCATCAATAGCTGATGGGGTACACTTAAACACAGTAGCCCACTTGAATCTCACTTATTGCACGTGTGGACACAATAATACTCTACCAATACTCATGACAAGCATGTCCACAAGGAATCTATTTAAATTGCCCTCAGAATTTCCTTTAGAAACATGACATCTTCAGTATATCTTTTTATTGCACATAGATATATATTTCTATCCATCTATCTACTGTCTATCTATCCTTTGTGGAAATAACTGTCATGAATCTTCATTTAGGGCCCTCGATCCTCAGACATCTGTTTCTTTAAGAGAAGGGAAGGAAGTATTGAGTCACTCATGAGTCTCTTGGCCTTTGGTCCCTGAGTACATAAAATATAGCAATGCTTTCTTTGATACTAAACAACATAGGAAGCCTGGCATCCTCATATAACCACAGGCTCTTCTCAGCTGGGCTTTAGCTGCAGAAATTTCCAGGGAAAAGGTGATCCACAACGCTGTGGGCAGGTAAGGGCCATGTCGTTCCTGGTGTGTGGTGGATGTTAATGAAGGAGTTAATTTCCGGCTCCGAGGGCGAGAAAACCACCCAAACTCAGAGGCCAATAGAAACACACGAGCTCCTCAGAAATATGGCAGCGGGAAGTGATTTGGATTTAGCCTCTGCCTGCTTCAGGGGCTGGCACAGCCAAGGAGAATACAGGGCAACAGTTGTGCGCTAAGGAGCTGAGTCTAAGCACCTTTAGGCAGGTGAGGAAAAAAGGGCCAGAATTTGGTGCCAGGACCAAGCCTGGCACCATCTCACTCTCAACTTCTTTCAGAGTCTGTCTGGGTAGCAAGCAGGCAATCCTCCCGCGGAGGAAGCATGGACCGCGGAGTGGTGACACCCGGCCTGTGCAGGACTCGGCCTTCGGCTCACTCCACATGCCGATGCCTCCCCGCGTTGCCATACAAAGCGGAAAGCGCTGTGGAAGAAGTAAGACCGGTAACAAGTTGTCAGGACCAAGGACTCCTGGAAGAAGTGTCCAGGACCCTCAGGAGCGGCGGCCCGGGAGTGGGTGCGCCTGGGCGCGCCGTGGGTCGGCTCGGCCCCGCGCATTCCTGGTTGGGGAGGAGAGCGCGGCGGGCGCCCTCCCGAGCAGCTGGCTGCGCGCTGGCCGGGCTCAGAGGGCCCAGAGCTGGGGGAGGAGCCTGGCCCGGCCGCCGCTCTGTCCCAGTCATTGGCCGTTAGTGCTGCAACTTTCCCGAGTCCTTCGGGGAGCCGCGCCGTTGCCCCGGGAAAGTTTGCGTCCCGGGGCCCGAGCCGGACGTGGAGATTGTGTGCACCGCGCCGCTGAGGGCCTCAGAAAACTCCCTGGAAGTGGCGTCCCCGGAGAACGCAGGCTCCGCGAGGGCCGTCCCGGCTCGCAGCCCGCCGGTAAGTGCGCCGCGGCCACGGTGAGGCGGCGAGCGTGCGTCCGGCCCGGGGAGACCTGCGTCCCAGACCGGGGCTGCCAGACAAAGGCGCCCTGAAAGTGGGAGCGTAGCTCCTTTCAGTTTTCCTCAGCGGAGACCGGGAAGGGGCGGAAAACGGCTGAATTACACGTTTGTGTCCCCTGCTGGCGGAGGAGTGTGTTTGCGGGAGAAGCGGCGGGCCTGGAGCGTCTGCCCCCAGACACGTACCTCGGGTGGCTGGGCGCGGGGTCAGCAGCGAGGACGAGGCGCTCGCCAGGGGGCTGGGTTCTCCGCCCACGGGGGCCCTTGCGCCATCCCTCCCGGGTCTCTCCGACTTCGTGCGGTCCCTTGGGTCTCGTGGGGGCGGCCCGGGTGGCCAGAGCTGCGCACGGATTAGCCACAAAATTCTGCACCCGATCGCTTCCGACTTTAGGACTTTTAAATTCTCCACTAGTTACGTCAGCGGGGCCAAGCGCACTTCGGGGCTCCGTGCGGCACGTGACCCGGCTGAGCTTCCCTGGGCTTCCTCGGCTCTCGCCTGCTGCCCGCCGCAGCGCTGTGTTTGTGTGTCGGGGCAGCTGCAGAAGTGCTGGCAATTGCCGCGCAGGCTCACAGCGCCTAATGCATCGCGCTGTTTGCGTGCAGTTCCTGCAACCTTGTTACAGTCCGCGGTGTTTGTCTTTTCTTAAAATGGCTTAATCATCGTTATCATTATTTTTACCTTCTGGCTTTGTCAAATACCTTGAAATACACCCGAATTAGATGTGTGGAGGGGAAACAGAAGGAACCTATGGAAAGAGGAGGAAGGAGATGGTACAGAGTGGACACTGTACAGTATGTGCGCTTGTGACTCTCCCAGTTTTTTCTGTCAAGGCGCAGGGAAAATCAAAAGATCCTAGGGCAGTCTCCTGTCTGTTTTATGACACAGGAAAATGTAGTTCTGTTATCAAGCAAAGAACTCATTCCACTCCCATCTCTGATTCCCTGTGGAGGCCACATTTCAAAAGCCATTTGCATTCTATTTGGAAATATCTTTGGCTGAGGGTCTGACTTGAGACTGAGTTTCAGCTGTGATTTTCATCTGTTTAGAGCCATATGTAGATGTCAGAGTTGAATCTTTACCAATGCTTTTGGAGTTGAGTCAGTGGAACTAGGAAGAGTTTTGTTGTGAATTGCACAACGAGTGACTCCCAAAGTGCCTGGCTGATCTGGGGCCAAGTGGCAGGGCCTCTCGAGAATGGGGCCACTTGTTCTGGGCAGGCCAGTGGAAGGGCATAGATTCCCACGGGGCTCCTTCCCTCAAGCCCTGCTCTGCCCTGGGCATTTTCCTCCGAAGAGAGTTGGAGCAGGAAATAGGCCAGTGGCTGCCCTGGTTATATGGAGACCTCAGCCAGTTCAGCCACCAGAGCCTCTTCCTGATTCCTGCACTGTCACTTGTCCCTTATGAGAAGTTAGGGCCTGATCTCAGGAGTGTGACCTATGTATGGCCTGCTTCGTTTTACCATTATTCATACATATTGCTGGTTATGGAAACCTGCAGGTCTAATGCCACCCCGCTGTGAAACCTAGATAGAAGCAGCCTCCTGTCCCTCTGTTTGCCTCTTCCCTTTCTCTCGCTAGTGCTGTAGTATTTAGAATATTTTATAGATATGAAAAGTTCAGAAAAGTCCAGGGTCAGGCTAGGGTTGTAGCTCAGTGGCAGAGCTATTGCATAGCATGGGTGAGGCCCTGGGTTCAGTCTCCAATTCTGAACAAACAACACCCAAACAAGAGCAAAAACAACAAAACAAAATAAAATTTAATATTAAATAAAAAGGCCAGGGCCTTGGCCAAGGTCACATTTCAAGGCGGGATTCCAATTCCAGACCCCAGATACCTGTCCTACTGTTCTCTGGGCTGAATCTCACAGGCGGCCTCTTTGGATTTATTCAGCTTTGTGTCAGGATTATTTGTTTGTCGCTTCTATGGAGACAGACACTGCTTGAGGGAAGAGGACATGTCTGGTTCATAGTATCACTTCACCAGAGTGACATGGGGCCCCAAGGAAGTAGGTGGTGGTTGAATTGAGTAAGACAAAGCCCCTGCCTTCAAGGAGGTTTTGTGTGTGTGTGTGTGTGTGTGTGCGCGCGCGTGTGTGTGCATGCCTGTGCATGTGTGATCTTTGAGCATATACATACCAGGCAGATTGGTGTGGAGTGATGCCTTGGGAGGGGATGTTGAATGTATGACATTTTTCGTTGCGCCAGTGACCAGGGAGCGGATTACAGGGATCTCGTGGGTGTCAGGGTTATTATGCATGGGACAGTCCTGCCCCACTAGGAATTGCCTCAGCCAAAATGCAGATAGCGTCCTCTGCCGAGGATTCTGCCAAGGCCTGAGGAATTGGGAGAGACACTTTTAGTTGGCAGGACGAGGAAAAGGGTTCCTGTGCTCGATAGGCTCCGGACTGCAGGTCTGGATGGGGCTGGCAGAGAACGAGGACTTGGAGATTAGGTCTGCTCTCCTGAACTTGGTTCCACAGGCAAAGCGAATGGTCCTAGAGCTACTGTGGTCTGGGTCTGGCAGACCCTCATACCTTTGCACAGGTAATCATGAGGTGGTTTGGTTTGGGAAGGTGATGATAGAGCTGGTGACTAATGCTGGCAAGAGGAGCAAATCTAAGAAAGAAAAGGCACAGGTCTGGGTCTCCTGGTCTGTCCTGTGGTGACCAAGGTCTATGAGATTCATCTTCTTGGCTGAGGCTTTTCTGCCTCTCCTCCACTGAGGTCCCAGTCTTTGGTTTATAACCTTGCTAATCATTTGCACAGCACTCCCTGTGATGACAAAACATCCCAAGGATTATGAAATCATGTAAGAGAAATGACAGGCATGAGAACAAAGACCCAGGGAAAGAAAAGTTTGTAAGGCAGTGCCTCTAAAAATAGAGCAGTGGGCAACTGAAATTCTCCTGGGACTGTGGACCATCGAGTAAAACGGGTATTTCATTTCAGACATGTTCAGAAGGGCTCCATCTCCTTTCCCCACCTCCCTGTCCTACAGTATTATAAAGTTTCAGCCTGTTGGGTAGCAAATGTATTCAGGGCTCCCGCTAAGAGAAAATTCTCAAGATTTATTTCCCCTGGGGTGGGGAGGGGCAGTGTAGAGAAGGCTCAGGATTTGGAGACAAAGATTTTTGTCTAAGGGCCCGGCCCCACCCCTTACCAGCTGTGTGACTTTGAACAAATCATGAACCACCTCTGAGTCACTTTCCTTCTCATTAATGTTGAGGATATTTTTCCTGCTCCCACTGGCTCTCAGCACTGTAGAGACCAGTGACATCATGTTCATGAAAATACTCGGTAAACTGAAAGTGCTATGCAAATCAGAAGTCAGTTGTGTTAATGTTTTTCATCTCATTATAAAGAAAGTCAGTTAGTGGAGCTAGACTTTTTAGTAACTTCTGTAGCCTATTTGTGTCATTATTGTTATTAAATGTAAACAAGGAGACAAGTTGTAGTGAGTGGAGTTCTTTGTTTAGAAGCTGCTTACCAATCGCTGAGCTGGTCAACTGGCTCCTATTTTGTTCATTCTCCCTTGCTTTGCCAGCCTCCCTTCCAGTTGTTCATTTATACTTTCCCTAGAAAACAAATAATAAAAAAAAGAAAACAAAAATTTAAAATATGGAGCTCAGATCAGTTCTGCTCATGGAGCAAATATTGGGAGAAATAGATAGAAAGAGAAAGCAGTTGTTCCATTGGCTCATCTGTTTGGTTATTTGCAGTCCCACCAGTTCCTCTCATTTTGTGGTTGCGTCCATGCTTGGTCCTTCCTGGTCCAGGGGTCATCCCTGTGCCTGCATCCTTTAGAAGTCTAGGGCTGCTGGCCAGCATTCCTGGATTGAAACCCCTGGGGGCCTGAGCGTTGGTTTCACATCCTGTCTGTTCTCGGGTGGAGACACATTCCACACTGAGAGGGGATGGTAAGAAGTTAGTGTAAGTAGCATTCTTTCCCTTCCTCCTTTTACTGCCAGGACTCCCCTCCCTCTTATTCACTGGCTTTCTGCTCTCCAGCTCCTTGCTTTGCCACAGCAGAAAAAGGTGAGATTATTATAGACAGCTAAGTTAGTTAAAATATTCTAGGCAGTCAGACAGGACTGGGCCCTCAAGAGTCAGTGCAGAAGATAAGAACATATTACCACTGTGGCTGGAGGGGCATTCATTGAAGGTCAGGCTTCAAGACAAAGAGAGGTGACTATACTCACATACTTGTCTTAGGGATGAACAGCAGTGATTGATGTTCTAAATAGGCACCTGTCACCTTGGATGACTTCCCTAACCCAGTCCTTCCTGGAAAGTTCATGTTTGTTCCCTATACACATGCTACATTTCTTGTACACTTGCTATGCTTGCTACAGGACTAGCTTCCCTATTGATCCTGTTTAATCAATATTACCTAAGCAATTATATTTGTAATCTTATTGGTTGATCATAATTTTGTCCCACCTCATACCCACCTTGTGATTTTCCATTGGATCAATAATACTTAAGTGACCTTACTTGTAATCCTACTGGTTGACTATAGTTCTCTCCCACCTTGTACCCACCTTGCCTCGTGGCTTTGCTTTACAAAAATCCTTTGAGAAGTGGGGCCTGTGGGCAAACCACTTTCCGGGCCCCCTTCTGTATCTTAGACACAAGCTGACTTTCTCTCAATAATTATTTCCTATTCTTAACCTCCATTGTTCCTAGAATTCATTCTTTGAATTTAGAGAACATGAATTTGGCATATCGGACATCTAGCTGTTTGGGAGTTATAATATTTCCCTTAAATTATTTGGAGGTCCATATAACATACGTCCTATGTCAAGATGTTACCTCTTGAACTTCTACTGAAACGCTGTAGCCCAGCCAGTTACCTGGCCCTGGAATCAGTGTTCTAGGCTCCTGCTTAGAGCTTCCAGGTTGTCCTGTGATCAGCCGTGTGGCAGGGTCTCTCAATGAGACGCTGTCATTGTTGTCGTGTCCTCAGTGCCCAGGACTGTGCTTTGCTCCTAGTTCAAGGTCTAAGCATCATCACTAGCAGCATCACTATGGGGAGAACAAATTGAGGTAATTTAGCTGCTTGTGTGGTTTTGGAATCAGGGAAAATCTGTGATTTTGATACACACACACACACACACACACACGCGCGTGCGCAAGTAAAACTTTGCATTGTCTATGTAAAAACATCTTCCGAGGCTCCACCTTGTTGCTTGTGTACCTGTTCTCAGCTTAGAAAAGGTCAAGGATGATCCTGGCTCTGCCTGATTTAAATTGTAACTAGACAGATCTGGGGGTAGCAGCTGTTAGTATCATTCTATTAGTGCTACTTTCCATGTATCTGCACAGTGTTCATTGAATGGCTATTGTTTATTAAGCATCCTCCCTCTTCCCCCACCCTTGGGCTTACAGTAAAGTGCGTACTGTGCTTTGTCTGTGTTTTTAAACGTGGTTATTAAACAAATCATATAACATAAAATTTACCATCTGAACCAATTCTAACTGTTGAGTGTATTCACATTGTGAAACACAACTTCAGAACTA